ACTGACAGTATGACATGGTTCTATAGATCAATTTATAATAATATTTTAATTTATCATAATTTATAAAAAACTTCTTTGTTTATCAGAAGAAAATGAAGGAGCGGGAAGAACTGTATTCTAGAATGCTGGATTTCGGCAAGCGGACTTGACATGCCTTTCCATGATTCAGGGCAAAAAGTGCTATTGTTAGATTTATTTTAAAAAAGACTGATTATACACTATTTTCATATTTTTTGTTTATTTGCACAACTTTAAACCAGATTACTGGTTAAAATCCAACAGTACACAATTTATAAAGTAAAAATATTTTATAAGGAAAGCATATGACCGGTTTGAATTACAGAGAGAGGTTTTGTTTTAGTTTTTTCTTGTTTGGTTTTGTTTTTTCTTTTTTTAAGAAAAAACCCTGCCTAAAATAATCTTGTAAAAAGTATGTATTTTAAAATTTTTGTTTTAATATAGAATATTATAAAGCCAAAATATAATTGTTTTCAGATTTGGAGTTTAAAATATAACTATAGAGGTGATTCTGATTCTTTGATGTCTCATAAAATGAGGCTTTTTGTATATTAATGTACAATAAAACTGAAATAAGATTATTTTCCATTTGAAATTTTTGTATAGTTTAAAAGCGCTTCCGTGTTCTTTGTTGGTATTGGGCCACTGCAGATCTTTAGTGCAGAGTTTATATTTAGCTAAACTGTTATGTTAATTAAGAAATGCATAAATCTTTTATTCTTAATATTTGTAATTCTAAATAAATCTATCTATGAAATTTAATATCTGCATTCTCATTTTATTACAATCATTAATTCTATTTAAAGTGTTTCGGAAGGCTGGTGAAATAGAGAGCTCAGCAGGTGAGAAGTGCTTAGTGCCTGTCTGGCAGTCTGAGCTTGATCCCTGGGACCCACGTGGTGCCAGGAAAGAACTGATTTCTGTTAGCTGTCCTGTGATCCTGTGACTGGTGCAGACACACACACACACAAATAAGTAAAAGTAATATTGGTTTTTATATCCAAATGTGGGGGTGCACTCCATTAATCCCAGCATTTGGGACCCGGTGGAGGCAGGTGCATTTCTATGAGTTCAAGGCTACCCTGTTCTACATAGAGAGAACTTGTCTCAAAGAGCAATTTTTTAAAAATGTTTTCAAGAAGTGCAGTCTCCACTAAGTTTTAGGAGATAATACTACAGATCAGTCACCAGGCCTTTTATGTTTTTGTTGATGTTGCTTATTTTAAGACAGATCCTCACTATGTTGCCCAAGCATGCTTTGCTGCTGGAACTCAAGACACACCCCACCATGCCCAGCTCTAATCATCTTGAAAAACAACACCATCCAGTGTTACTTCAGGGAGAGGTGGTTTGCTTTGATTTTCGTCTGTTAGTAAGTCACTGTGGAAACACTAAGCAAGTAAATTATTTCTCTTATGCTATGAACCTAGCAGAAGACTGAATTTAGTATGTTCTGCCTAGAAGTAGGTAAATGGTTTTTAATGTTTGTTATACGTTGTTTAAAGCTCACTTGTCACACTTAAGTCAGACCTCATCTTATAGCACTGTGTGTCCTTCAGTGCTGGAGGGTTGCAGAGTCTGTGCCTGAGAATATAGCTGGATTTGTTTCTGTTAGCATTGTCTAATTAGAGGAGTGGTTTTGAGTCAGCTGCACCTTTTCTTGAATAATCCTGTCCCTGTTGAGCACGCGTTTGTGGCTTTACAGAAGCTCCCAGGGCCAGATGGAGCCAACAGTCAAATTCACTGAGAATGTAAAAGCAGATATACCTATTAAGTTTTCTTTATTGAGCTGGCCTGGTGAGGGTAGGCCCATAATCCCAGCTACTTGGGAGGCTGAGACAGAAGGATCACAAGTTCATGGTCAGTCTGGGCTACCGAGTGAATTCAAGACCAGTCTGGGCAACTTGGTGAGACCCTGTCTCAGAGTTAAAAAGGGGACCTCGGGATGGCTTGGAGACAGAGTGCTTGCCTGGCGTGTATGAGGAGGCCCAAGGCTCAGACACGGGGTGCTTGTGAGGCCCACGGTACCAGCACCACACATGAAACAAAGTTCTCCTTCTTCAGGTCTCCTGTAGCCAGGCTGGCCTCAGACTTGCTTATAACTGAAAATGGCCTTGAACTTTCTGATCCTCTTGCTTCCACTTCCCGTGTGCTGGGATTACAGACACGGCCTCCGCCCCAGCTTTGAATCTATCCCATTACTGCCACTCACTCCACCGCCACCGTCTGCAGCTGGGACGGCACAGCCATCTCTCCCTCCACTAAGCTCTCAGCACTACTCACCTCCACATTCAGCCAGGGTGGCTTCTTAAAATTCAGAGTTGGTCATGTTATCCCTGTCTAGGAATCCCTTTAAAGTCTACGACCCCTGGGACAAATTCAGAAGTCTGAGCAGACCTCCAGTCCAGCCTCCACTTCACTGCCTCTCCACTGGGGCCTTCGGCCGCAGGCCGGGCTTTGTTCCATCCATTCTAACTGACCTCACGGCAGCAGCGCTTTTCCCGAGGGGGAGTTTTTGACCACAGCACAGCCAGAAGTGCCTCAGACAACCTACCTCTCCCAGCATGAGCAGTAACTCTGATTTTATATCTCACAGAGATTTTATATGTCATATATATATGTGTATATATATGACACACACATACATACACATAGCTATATCTGCTGTGAAATATATATGTTTGTCTCTGCTCCATAAAGGGGCACTATTTTGGGCTTTACTGTATTTTATTCTAAATCCTTCTGACACTATGAGCACTCGCCTGACCACAGGCACTAAATAGCGTGTGTGATGAATTAGCCAGTAAGTGTCTAAGCACCATTATTGTCACTGGAACAAATGTGTGTTTTTCCGTGACAACTTCGAAAGATAATAGCTTGCATATGGAAATTCTGATTAGGGGCCTTCTTTTAAATGGGTTCCATTTCTTAGTCCTAACTAAAAGGATCAACATGACAAAGGAGAAGACGTGAAGGTTGAGTGGACTGAAGTCATCCTACCTTTGAATCGTGATCATTGCTGTATTTAAGTTCTGTGACCGTGAACCATTCTTATTTTCTCTCTTTTTTTGTGTGCCTGGTGCCCAAGGAGGCCAGACAACATCAGATTTGAAACTGGAACGAAGGACAGTGAGCCACCATGAGGGTACTGGGGACCAAGCCTGGGTCCTCTGCAACAGCAGCAAGTGTTCTGAGCTGCTGCACCATCTCTCCAGCCCGATTACATGACTTCTCTTTGACAGGGATTCTGACTGTACCATTAAGTGTTCTGAGAACTTTTCCATCCTGTCACTGGATTTGCGTCATCTCGATTGGGCTAAACTGTCATCTAAATTGTCACAGTTTTAGGTGTGAGGCTCTGATGGTGAGCCCTCCAACTAGCATATCAGTATTTGAACAGATCTTAAGTTAACTTCGTCATTTATACAAATACTGGGAATGCAAAGCTAGAAAGAAATCTGAAACCAGAATACTCATGAGGGTTACCTACTTTGAACAAGTAAAGCTAAGCGTGGTGGCCTGAACCCCTATAGCTCATATGTTGGTTCCCAGTTGGTGGGAAGGATGTGTTTTCTGACTTTGAGGCCATCCCCAAGGATGTGAGCTCTTCCTGACATCATGCCTTCCTGTCCCCAATCACGGACACTAACCTGAAACTGAAAGGCCAATTGAACACTTTGCTCTCTGGGTTGCCCTGCTCATGGTGTTTTATCACATCTATAGAAAAGTAACAATACAAAAAGCTTTTTAAAAGTTTTTTTCTTACATTTATTTACTGATTTTGCATATGTGCGTGGTTGCACACCACAGCACCCATGTGTAAGTCAGAAGCCAACCTGAGAAGTCACTTCTCTCCTTCCGCCATGGATGCTGGGAATCTAACTCGGGTCGTTAGGCTTGGTGGCAAACATGTTTACCCCCGCTGAGCCACCTCAGCAGCCCAACAAATAAGCTTTTAACTTAAATTCTCAATGCACCGCACTTGCAGAAACTTCCCTTGGAAATGTTCTCACAGCCGTTCAGTATGTCCTCAGCAGCTGCCCAAAACGGGGTTCATTTCTGCGTGAGGACACTAGTGAGAAACAGTTAGTAATCCACTACTGTTGCACAGGAAACGTAGTAACAAGTGCTAAGAAAAATGGTGGTCAAAGTAACCGGTACAAACATTAATACTGGCTAGAGAAAGGTTAGGTTTCCGAAAGGTAGGAGTCTGCGCTGTTTTGAAAAAGAAATTTTTTTCACTGAGTCTCAACCAGAAAGGATTGAGTGAGACAGAGAAGCATACCGTGGATGAATGATCTTAAGGTTTGCGTAAGCTAAGGATGATGCGTTTATTGGGAGCATGCTTGAAAGGATTCTATAATTTGATAACTGGAGGCTACCACCGATTTCTAAATAGAGCCATTTCTTTTCTGAGTAAGTGGGGAATGAGAGACATGGGGCTCCTTAAAGTACTTGAATGTAGTGTCCTTCCTGGTGAGTGTAAAGATGGCAGCCAAGTGAGGGGCAGGGGATACTGGTTAGGATGCATAGTTTCAGGTAGAAAGAATAAGTTGAAAAAATCTATGGTAACGGCTATAATTAGCAACAACATGTCATATACTTGAAAATGGCTAAAATCATGGATTCTAAGTGTCACCACAGAGAAAGGACATACATGTAAGTGAGGTCATACATGTGTCAAACAGCTGGATTTGGATATATCTGCTGGATATCATACAATTTTAAACAAAAACAGCAGCATCCAGTCATGGTGGCACACACTAGTAATCCCAGTGTTCAGAAGAGGAAGGAAGGAGGACAGGAGCTCAGGGTCCTCCTTAGCCACACAGCAAGGTCAAGAACAAAACAAAAAGGACTCAGTAAAAAAGGTGATAAATGTGGGTGATTAGGTTAAAGTTAGGATGTAGTAGAAAGAGTGACTAGATTGAAGGTCCTGGAGAGGCCATGGGCAGACAGCAGCTGCCAAGGAAAGGGGGAAATTGAGTCAAGCTGAAGGTTCTGACAAAGAAAACAAGTTCTGAATCATCAGTCTGAACAATTAGAATAGACCAGGGGGTTATGGACCAAATTGAATGCGCAGACTTGGAGATTTACAGGTACCCCTGAGTGGAAGGATGGGTGGCTACCGAGAAAAAGCCACAGGTAAAGGCTCACGGTGAAGAGGAGAAACCTTCAAGAGAAATAATCCAGAAGCATCATCAACAAGGCCATGGCCAGTCAGGGTTACAGTAGCGTTCTGGTCCGTATCTCCCAGACCCCTCTGAGTACATCCTGAACTCTTCCAGAATCCTCAAAAATTACCTAAGGCTGAAAAGATATGTTCTTCCCACGAGTCCAACTTCGAGCCGATGTCTTCGGAGAGAGGTGAATAGGTGTCAAAACTGTGACCTTGAGAACCAGATGCACAGAGGCCTCCTCCAGCCCTGCTGGCATCGGGAAGGCAGTTCATAGCTGCCTCCAGGGGCAGCTGGGGTTTCAGACATCTCGCTTCAGTCCCAGGAGCGGAGTGATGGAGGAACACTTCCCGCCTTGATGATAAGGGCTGCAATGACTTCCCACTCTGGCGCCTGGACTTGGCCCGTCTGTTCTGGAACCACACCTGGGAGACAGGAGGACAACCTGACTCTGCTGCTCTGAGTTGGAGTTTTTGTTGTTGGTTTGGGGGGAGTTTTATTGAGCTAGCATCCCAGGTGGTAGTAGCCAAGGATGACCTTGACCTTGACCTCCTGATTCTCCTTCCTCCACTTGCCCAGAGCTGTGGTTAGAGGCACGCACCACCACACCTGGTTTCTATGGTGCTGGGATAGTACCATGCATGCTAGGCAAGCACTCTACAAAGTGTATCCCCAGACTGGCTTGACCTTCTGGCGCTAACACTTGGCTCACAACTAACAATGTAAATTCCAGCTATTATTAGCCACACTCTCTGCTAAGAGCCTGTGGTTTACAGAAAGCATTTGAGCCAGTATTTGATGGTCAGAGCACCAGATCTTCTCAGCCACTCTCAGATGCAAAGCTGGAATGGTGCTGGTTCTATCTGCACTTACAGGCTCCAAAGCTACACAGAGAAACCCTATCTCAAAAAACCAAACACCAAAAGAAAATAAAACCAGGATCTTTGGAGCCCAGGCTAGCCTCAAACTGGATATACAGGCAAGGAAGACATTGAATTTCTTGATCCTTTTGCCTTTAGCTCGTAAATGCTGCGATTTCAGGCATGTCCCACCCATAGCTTCTGTCTACACTTTATTTGGGACATTTCTGATGAGAAAAGAGGTCACAAAATACAGGCCCCCAAAGTCCCTAGGCAATAAGGTTTTGGTGACAGACATTTAAATTATTTAGAGTCCATTTTTGAATGTCTGGACTTCCCTATCAAAGCAAATAGGTATCTTTCCTTAATAAATCTCAATTCTGTGTGTAAATTTCTTAGCCAGTTCTCTATGAATACTGAAGGTGTCCCACTTAGAAAGCCTCTGGTGACAGCTATTGAGAGTGACAGTTGACGTTGGGGGGGTGGCGGTGCACACCTTTAATTCCAGGACTCCTGGGAGGCAGAGGCGGGTAGGGCTGGCTACACAGAGAAATGCTGTGTGTGTGCGTGTGTGTGTGTGTGTGTGTGTGTGTGAGAGAGAGAGAGAGAGAGAGAGAGAGAGAGAGAGAGTTGAATAATTACCCAAAGTACAGGGGGGGAAAGGGGTCCACATGCTCCTGGGATTAAATGAGGTCTCCTATGTAAAACTGCATTTGGGCATAGACTAACAGAAAAGCAGGCAAGCTTCTAATCCCGGTGTGGGGAGACACACCTGGAATCCAAGCAGCCAGGAAACTGAGACAGGAGGACTATGAATGCAAATCCAGCCTGACTACGCAGCATGAACCTGTCTCAATCATACACACACACACACACACACACACACACACACACACACACACACACAAACCCAGAGACAGATATTTATTTGGGTTGAACCTGAAGGTCAGAAAAGCAAAACAGTCACTCACTGGCTCTTACCTCTACCTCAGTCCGAAAATGGCGATCCTGCCTTCAGGAATCCTCAGAATGAGACTGAGAGCTGTCTCCTCCCATTTTATATTCCTCTCTAGAGCTGGGAATAAAGGCATGCACCACTACCGCCCGGTTTCTTTGACCAACTAGTGTGGCTACTGGAATTAAGGGTGTTTGTCGCCACTCCCTGGTCTATAAGGCTGACTAGGGTGGCTGTTTTACTCTCTGATCTTGATCTTCAGGCAAGCTTTATTAAAATATAAATGAAATATCACTACACACACACACACACACAGAGAGAGAGAGAGAGAGAGAGAGAGAGAGAGAGAGAGAGAGGCAGCTTCTTCCAGCAACCTCAGAATTCTGAATCTAAATGACTCCGGACAATAAACTCACTTTGCACTCGATTTTTCAAAGTTACAAGAAGTCCCTTGCTTGTCTTAAAGTACCTGGTGACCCAACCCTGCTCTACTACTTAAAATCAAAGCCAGAGGAAGGTTCACGACCACGCCCCCTCCTTTGTCTTCTTACTGGACACTGGAAAAAGTGCTCAACTACTTCCCATCGCCTTCCTGCGGGTACCTTTCGAGGGGGTCAGTAATCGTCCTAGCAGCCCAAATTACACAGCAACAGGGCCGTTACTGGCATCCCCATTTAGTAGTCTAGTATAAGATTCAAAGAGAGTAACTTGTCCACCTCCCCCCACCCCGAAAAAAATGACTTAACAAGCCTTTGATTCCCCAGAACCTCCACTCTAGCACGCACCTGCAAACGCGACTCACCTGGATCCTGGATTCCGGGAGCAGCGTGAGCTTGGCCAGGCGCTCCCGCAAGTGGATGTCGGGGTACATGGTCTGGCGGAAGACGAGTTCCAGCAGCTGCAGTTGCTCAGAGCTGAACGACGTGCGCTTGCGGCGCTGGGGCGCAGACGGGGCAGCCGCGCCTTTGGGGGGCCGGGGCGGATCCAGGCCGGTGGGGGTCTGCGCTGTGGATCCCGGGCTTCCGCTTGGAAAGCACGGCGTGGCCGCTGGGGCGCGGGGGTCCTGGGGCGCAGAGGGCAGCCCGGCGACGGGGCGCGTGGACTGAAACAGCGGTCCTCCGGGGTGCGCGGCCGGGAAGGCGGGGAAAACAGCACCCTCGGCAAACTGGAGTTGTTGGGACCCTGCTGCGGCCATGGCTCCCGGACACCTCCCGTGACCCCCGTGCTCCTTCAGTTATAGCCACCCGGGGCCGGGGAGGGGGCGGCGGCATCATCAAAGGCGTGGGCGCGGGGAGGCCACGTCTCCTTGAGGTGCGAGCCCGCCCCAGCCCCGCCAGACGCCGCAGGAATAATCGCTTCCGCTGACCTGGGGACGGAGGGAGGGAGGGAGGCGCGAACTTGAGTCCGGCCACTCCGTCCCTTCCCCGCCCATCCGCCCGTCAGCCCGACCACCAATCCACATACCTAGAACCGATATGCTTCGGAGGGGACGCCCCAAGAGAGGACCAGATTTGAACAGAACACCTTCTTCTGGGACAGAAAGCCCCCCTTCAAGAGCGCCCGGATCACTCCAGGGGCTGGGTTCTCAGGTCCCAGCACTGAGCCTGGCCTATCCCCTGGCTATCCCCTGTCACCATCAAAGGTACTGTTTACCTCCCCTGCTATGTGCTAGACCTTACTCCAGGTTGGTCAAACAGCCTGGCCCTGCCCTCTGCCAAACCATACTGACACATCCTGAATCCAAGGGGGTTGAAGATAACGAGACCTCAAAGGGGCAGGCATCCTGAGCAGAAACGATGCTCCTGCCCGGAATATCTGTAGCATGTCAAGAAGGCTGCTGTAAAGTGGGCGGGTTGAATTGGACCAGGTTAGCGCTCCTAGAGAGTCAGACAGTGCTCAGAAGAGGAAAATAAAACCGTATCTTCAAGTTTCTTCTCCCTCTAATGCCATTACGATTTCCTTTGTCTCCTGAAGCTCATTTGAAGTTCCCATTTTGTCTAATGCTGGTTTGTAGTTTGTGACTTCTCCATACATTCATGTATTCATATCAGTCTCCCTCACTCCTTTGGTCCTGAGACTAGAACCTAGAACCTGGAATAATAGCCTAAACAAGTCCTCCACTGATATATGTATCCGCTGTCTTCTTTTGGCTTTTGTTTGGAAGTGTGTGTGTGTGTGTGTGTGTGTGTGTGTGTGTGTGTGTGATTTCGCTAGGCAGCGCTCTCCTACCTTGAGCATCTCCTCATACAACACTGCAAAAGATTTGGCCAGACTCTCAGTGAACATCTGTTGAATCAGAAACCAAGTTGCTTAGCAGAGAAATCAGAGGTCTGCCACAGAAGGGCAGAAAGAAGCACCAGAGAGCTGCTTCTACGGTCTCAAAGGGGCTCTCCACCGAGGGAGGGGTGTTCCACAGCCCAGGACTTGCTCCTGCTGGTTCTACAATGCTAATAGGAGGTCTCAGAGGAGAGGCATCTTCTCTTATGTGGGAGTCATTGAGTACACTGAGTTGTCCATCAGTTGGGTAGCAATAGGAAAATGTCTTGGTCTCCTGCATTACATAGATCCTGAGCCCCCTAGACCTGCTTTTCCATCTAATCCAGTGGCTCTCAACTTTTTTTTGGCGGGAGTGGGGGGGAGGTTCAAGACATGCATGATTTCACTGTGTAGCCTTGACTGTCCTGGAACTCACTTTGTAGATGCTCTGCCTTCTTACTGAGTGCTGGGATTAAAGGCATGCACAGTCACTGCCTGACTGGCTCTCACTCTTGTTAAAGCTGTGACCCTTCATACAGTTCCTCATCTTGTGATGACCCCAGCCATAAAATTATGTTTGTTGCTACTTCATAACTGTAGTTTGCTACTGATATGAATTGTAATGTAAATATCTGATATTCGGGATATCGGACCCCGTGAAAGGGTCATTCCGCCCCCCCAGAGTGGTCAAGAGTCACAGGTTGAGAATCACTAATCCTTTCCCTCAAACACACATATGCTCTCTCGCTCTCTCGCTCTCTCTAACACACAAACACATATGTACGCACATATATGTGCACACATGCTCACGAGCACACACATTCATACTCAAGCATGTGCACACATACATGCACATACATACCCTTCCAACCTCTCTTTTTTAATTTCCTCTTTTATTTCTTTGCCAGATTTTTAGACTCAGAATATGGAATAGAAAATCAGATTTTTTAAATTTTTCTCTGCCTTCTTCTACCCCATACATATATGAGGTTCTTGTGTATCCCAGGCTACCTAGCCTCAAACTCTTCATGGAGCCAAGGGTGACTTTGAACCTCTGATCTTCCCACCTCCACTCCAGAAAGCTTTCGTTACAGGCATTGCACACGATGCCTGATTTTATGCAATGCTGGAGATCAAACACAAGGCCTGTCTGCACCAGGCAAGCACCATAACAACTGGCTCCATCTTCCAGCATTTGTTTATGTATTTAGAGACTGGGTCTCACTATGTAGCCCAGGCTGGCCTTGAATTTGAGATCTACCTGCCTCAGTGTCCTAAACATGAAATTTCATACCCACTTTTATTCTTTTATTTTCCTGTGATGTTGAGGATCAAATCCAGGGCCTTGCACATGCCAACAAGGTCCTTACCACTGAACTACATGCCTAGCCCACCATCCACTCTTAATCCATTATTTAAAATGAATTGTTTAAAGAACAAAAACAATTATGGCCATGCTAGCCTGTACTTATTATGTATGTTCTTTTATAGAAAAGGTGTGTGCATCCCCATCTTACTCTTGAAGAAATACGCCACAATCCAGATCAAAGCCCAGAAATCTGAAGAGATGGTGTAGCCAAACTGACTTTCAGATGTGACTCCATGGTAACATTAGACCCCAGTCTTCTTGGGAGGTGAGAGACACCGGTCTCTGTCACCTAGGAGCTGC